CCCAGCTTTGGTATTTATTTGCTTCCTGATCTTTAGTGAGTTACTTAGTTGGTGTCCTTCATCTTTCTTACTTATTAACAGGGAGTCTTTAACGGTTCTGTTTATTGTGTGGGTAAAATTCAGTACCAGATATAAAGTCATAGATATGTACTAAGATTTAGTATGATCAGGAATGTTGTCAGGATGATCCAGAAAATGCCAAGACATATTAAATAAGCAGCATTTTGGTAGAACAAAGGAGAAAACAGAATCACTACAGGCTCAATGTGACTTCATAGAAAGCGTATGCCTCGACGTGGCTGTTTAAGGTTGAAGGGTGGATAAGCATCTTCTCTTGGGTAGCACATTCCAGGCAGAGATCTTCACTAAGGGTCAGCACAAAGAGAGAAAGACCAATAAAATTCTCTTCCTTTGAATAGAAGATTTATGTTGGAAGATCCAAGAGAAGACTACGGGAATTTAGAGGCACCGGGTACTGCTAACCATGTAAACCAAGAGATGTAGAATCTGCTCGAGACATTCTTCAGGTGGGAGACTCTGCCATCTAGGGTGCATATACCCAGGAAAGGAGACAACCCAGGTTCCCCTTGAAGTCAGACTGACCTCTGGTCTTGAAGAAAAGTCACCAGAAGGCACATCATTTATCTTAGCCAAGGTGATGCAGAGAGAGTGGAGAACAGTGCATAGGAATCTCTGAGTTCTACGAAAGAACCTCATTTCTGTGACATCTTTAGTTAGCATTTTCTGAATCCAAGTCCTGGTGCAATGAAACAACCACTTCTACCTATCTTGTGATTCCTATTTTTGGCTGCCTGGCTCAACTTTTCTTCTTTCATGAGGGCAGAGAACCCCCCCACACACACATGCACACACACACACACACACACACACACACACACACACATGCACACACGCATATACACACACTCAAAGAGCTATGAATGAAGACCATGATTTGAACACCTAAAACATTCCTATGCTTCTCAGATGAATAGGTAAGTGATATATTTCAATCAGATAAGTCACTTTGTTTCTTATTTTCATATATAATGACTTGAGTGTGGAATATTACCATGTGTAAGAAGGAGCACACACATTCTCTAGCTAAGCACAAAATCAAATGACAATTATTTGGTGGAGTAGGGAAGAGAACACTAAACTATGATCCTGTGTCTAGGATCGATTTCAAGCCCTTCTGGTAACTGTGTGCTATTCTGAAGGCATTTGGTTCACAAAACTGAATCTCTGTCACCGAGGAAATAGTCCCCCTGAGCCAGGTGAGATGGTGCTGTCACTCTGGCCTCGTGGCTTTGAGTTAGTCTGCCTTTCCTCTCTGGTAGCTTATAAATTCCAGTGTCCCTGATGTTCGGAAGTTTTACATCTCAGTGTCTAGGAATATTGTACTTGGTAACCCTTTTTGGGTTCAAGACCCTAGGACCTCATATTTTGTTTGTTTTACTTTGAGGATTTTTCAGGTATAGTATTTTTAATATTGCCTCTTCTCTATCTTTTGCCAGTTTTCTTTGTCTGAGATACTAAGATTAGACTTAGACTTTCTCAATTTTTCATATTACATTTGGTTTTATTTTTCATGAATTTAGCTTCCAACTACTCAGTTTAACATTTAGCTTACTAATTTGCTTTTTGGTTATTTTTCTTAAAAATCATTTTATTTTCCACTTTACCACATGGAATCTTTAAAATAGCTGCCTAGTCTTGTTTCATAATCTCCTGGTTTTGCTTCACAACTTCTTGTCAGAAATGTGATTTTTTTCAATTATCTTCTTGAGAATATTTTAGTATATTATTTTGAAAGCTTTTCAAATTACAATTTTATCCCTGCTTATTTTTATGGTGTTAGCTTTTCTCAGCCTATCAGCGTTCCTGGTTGAATGCTTATCTTCGAGAACATTTTTTATATGAGCCGTTCCGTTCTGTCGTCTGTGAGAGGATCCCTGTGCATGCCGAAGCTCTGTGTGTCTGCCCTCGTCAACAGGGGCCATGCCTCTGTGGATAAAGTGATTTTTACAATCTACTTTGACAAAACTGGGAACTTAAAAACACCTATTTCTACGACTTACAGGTTTGAAGTTCTGTAAACTATTTGTCTTTTTAGGTATCGAAATACATTTCAAGCAAAATTGCCATGTCTAAAATATTCCTTCTGCCCTTTTTTTTAAAAAAAAAACAAAGTCAAATAAGTATTTCCAGATAGGATCAGGTATGTTCAGGTATGTCTAGGACTGTAGATAATTGTCCTAGGGTTTCTATTACTGTAAAGAGACACCAGGACCATGGCAACTCTTATAAAGGAAAACATTTAATTGAGTCTGACTTACAGTTTCAGAGGTTTAGTCCATTATTGTCATGGAGGAAACAAGGAAGCAAACCGGCAGACATGGTGATGGAGAAGGAGCTGAGAGTTCTAAGTCTTGGTCCGTAGGCAACAGGAAGTGAACGGTGACACTGGGCATAGCTTAAGCATAGGAGAACTCAAAGCCCACCCCCGCAGCAACACACTTCCTACTCCAACAAGGCCACAACTCTTCATAGAGCCACTCACTTTGGGGGCCATTTTCTTTCAAACAATGTTTTCAAAGCAACATGTAATACATCACTAAAATGTTGCAGGATATTAACCAAGGCAGCTTCTGTTGGTGATTCTTGACAAGGTCTACTTGAACCCTTCCGAACAAAACCAAAACAGTACTTAATATTTCCGTGTGACTGTTCCCAGTCCCACATCATCTTAGGTTTTTATTGTGATTAAACGCTATGACCAAAAGCAGCTTGCAGAGGAAAGGTTTATCTGGCCCATGCTTTCACATCATGGACATTTTCTTGATTAATGAGGGACGTGGGGCAGCCTAGCCCACTGTGGGTGATGCCACCCTTGGGCAGCTGATTCTGGGATATAGAAGGAAACTAAGCAACCTAGAAGGAGCAAGAAGGTAATTAACAGTTCCTTAACAGCCCTGCGTCAGTCTCTCCCTCCAGGTTTCTGCCTTGAATTCCTGCCTGATGCTCTTTAGTGAAAGAGTGTGACATGGAGCTGTAACCCAAACAGACTCTTTCCTTCCCAAGATGCCTTTGGTCATGCTGCTTATGGCAACAATAGAAATCTAACTAAGACATATGACAAGTTTATTAAGATGAAACAACGTTGTTTTTGTAATAGCACTCTCCATATTTCAAACACCGAGCCGTCACATGTCGAGTGTACATATATGATCACTCTTAGTAGTTTCAACTTAGCAGCTATCTATGCCCTGTCCTGACAGAACAGAAATTTTGATTGATCACAGTAATATGAAAGACTTACATATTCTACCTGTTGGGAATAGTATCAACAATTACTCAGTTACTTCTCCTGTCCATTTGTCATCTGAATCTACTTGTACAAAGAGGATACATAGTTTTACTCTGGTCATGTTAGCAGAACACAATGTGGGTTAAAAAACTTCTGACATCTAGCTAGAAGTTCAAGAGCAAGCTGCTGTCTTCAGGACTTTTTTCCCCTGAGGCCTCTGTATTTGGCCTTCAGATGATCATTCCTGTTCTACATCTCACATAACATTTTCTCAGAGAGGAGCAGTCCTGGTAGTCTTTCCATATATTCAAGGTTATTACATGAACACCAACTAGATTGGGCTATGCACCATCACAATACCCTAATATTTTCTGCCTTCATGTCACAGATACACGACAGGTAGAAGTCTAGATTCTATGTCTGATAGACAATTTGCAATACTTCTCTTTCGTCCCCTCACTGCTCTCTCCTGCTTCCCTCTGCTCCTTCCGTAAGACCAGGCTCTCTGCACAGAGACCTTCTATTTTTAACATCTACACACGTACAAAAAACAATTGCATAACAATTCTTCATATAGAATTTTTTTCTCCTTTCTGCTAAAATTCAAGGGCTCAATTAGTGTAGCAAGTTTCACATGATTAACCATTCCAGTGAGAGAATGATAGTTTACCAAAATTTAATGACAAACTCAAGTAGTTAGGATGAAGTCAGGAAAGATATTATTATCATCTGAATCTTGGTGATGACTCTGGTCCAGAACATCATAGGCTGACTAAGAGATTGAAGAATCCATGTTGGAAATCACTACTATTTCTCAAGGGAGAATTGAAATGTTCTCTAATCCATCTGAATTTCATTCTGCAGTAGTTCTCAACTTTCCTAATGCGGCAACCTTTTAAAACATTCCTCATGTTGTGGTGACCTGCAAGCATAAAATTATTTTTCATTGCTACTTCATAGCTGTAATTTTGCTACTGTTATGAATCATAATGTAAATATTTCAGAAGACAGAATTTATTGAGTGTGTTTGCAACCCACAGGCTGAGAACTTGTGCCCTGGAGGCATTTGCCCCATTATGAGTGGCTTCATTAACTCAATCACTTCAAGAAATAACCGAGACATGAACACAAATACCCCGAATTGAAAGGATTTATTTCTACCCTCCACACATTGTAGGTACCCCCCATGTCTTCATCCTTTCTCATCTACTCAGCCTATCAAGATTGGTTTGGTTAGTTCAAGTTCTTACCATATGCTGAAGTAAGAAACAAACAAATTATCATCCTGAGATCGCTTCCAACCCCGGAGGTAGTCATCATACCCCACAGTACAGCTTCAAGAATATTCTCATGAGACACAGTATGACTGAGAAAGAGAACAAACTCACGATTTAGTCACAGTGCCCCTGTTCCATAAACAGAACCTTGACAGTATTGTTCTGGGGACCATCCTGCCATTCAGGTGTGCTCGTCATAAATTGAGTCATTGCAGAGTGCATGTGACTTGTTGGTACCAGCCTCATGGGGAGTTGGCTGGCTGATGAAAGGTCTTGGAGTCTGATTTCAGAGGTTCCTGATAATTACCAAGGGTGGTGTCTTTCTCACCAATATCCTGCGATGTCTTCCACAGACACTTCTTCACTTTCTTTAAAGTATTTCAATTTTGGAGTGGAGAATTTTTTTTTTCCAGGGGAGAGTCAAATATAATTCTCCACTACCACAAATTATGCAGTTGAGTTTCCCACATTTGGGAAGTTGTCAGGGTCAGCACACCCAGAGTGTGATGGCTAAGTCTTGCCATGCGAAAACTATCTTCATGGCCACGATATCTCCCCTGCCAGGTAAGAATAAAGAATCATTTTAAAGACTTACTGCATTTTAAAAACATGTTTCTTGAGTAGGAGTTTTTCTCATTGTGTTAGAGACAATATTTGTGGATATCTTACCAATAATGTCAGCATCTTTGAAGCCATTAGAATGTTGAGGAAAATGGTATCTGTAAGTGGTATCTGCCATCATTATTGTTTTTGATTATAGATGGGGAAAGACTCATGTGAGACAAGGAGATGGTCCCAAATGTAGGGCATGATCTCTAGGTTCAAATTCTGGCTCTGACATTAACTGTCCATGCTTTGGACATGAGAAACCTCAGTTTTCCATCAGAAATAAGTAGAAACTATATATAGTCATGGGAAAACCATGAAAATATGTATAAATGTTGGTAAGATTATTGTCTCACCTTCATTTGATTTTGATTTTTCTTTTGTGAGTGCTAGGTCTGAGCCATTTGGTGCATTTTGAACATTTAAAGTCAACAGTAAACTGACCCTTGGGATTTTAAAACAGGAGTTGAGGTGGAAAGAATTTGCAGCCAGAAATTCTTGTGTTCGAAACCCTACCTTATTTATCCATCTAATATTGAATTTACTCATATAATCACTTCATCATTTGGATAATCCAAATCTCTCTCTCTCTCTCTCTCTCACACACACACACACACAGATACATAGAAACATGAACATAGAGACACATACACACACAGTAGTTCTGCAATGTAGCACCCAGTAGGCATTCATTGTACGCTCTGCATATATGGTTCCCTCTCCTTTCTCCCATCCTCTCCTTTCCTTTCTTCTGTAAAAATTAATCGGGGAACAGCAGGGCAAAGGGGCCGAGAATCGGTAGATTCAGCCAGGCAAAGCAAGAGAATTGGGAGGATATAGAAACACTCTACAGTGATCTTATCCAGCTGTTAAAGAATATAAAGTCTACGGGGAAATTTATCTTCCGGTTGGTCACCAGTCCCCAAAGGGAGCTGTGAGATGAGAGAGCATAGAAGGAGTGATAAGGAAGAGTTCTTGAACTTCAAACTTCCCTTAATTATCACCTGACAGTATCTCATTCTAAGCCAGGAAAACAATCTGAAATAAAGAATTAAGTTCCCTAAGATCCTTGAAACAATAAGAATTCACATTTTGCAAGTCAATTTTGTTTTGTCAAGTTGACATAAACCAGGATCATCTGGGAAGAGGGGGCCTCAACTGAGAAAATGCCTCCATTAGATTGCCTCCATTTTCTTGATTCAGGATTGATGTGGGAGAGCCCAGCCCATTATGAGCAGAGCCGCCCTGGGCAGGTGGTCTTGGGAGGTATAAGCAATGTAGTTGAACTTGAACCTTAGGGGCAAGTCAGTCAGCAAGTTTTCTCCGGTTGCTTCCTGCCTCTGCTGCTGCTTCAGTTCCTGCCCCGACTTCCCTCAAAGACAGATCATGATTAGAGTAAGTAAGTAAGTCAAATACACTCTCTCCTCCTTAGGTTGCCTTTGGTCATGGTATTTATTACATCAAGAGAAAGCAAACCAGGCCACACACCAAACAAGAAAACTTCGGATGTTTGTTCATGTGTGATTATATCAAGGGCCTCTTACTTCTATGTTGCCGTGTGAATAGATGGTACATACTCAAGGTCATTCCTGCTGGGCTTATAAACCAAGCTGAAGTGGATCTTGGTGGCTGTTAACCTCGGGATCATATTCATGGACTTGGAGAGGCTCTCATCAGGCCCAGAAGATGGAAAAGATGGAGGTCAGCCTGGAAGGAGCCTATTAGGCACACAGACACCAACATGGCTTCTCTGGGATTCCAGGCAGGTCTTCAGAGCTTACGAGGCTCCCTCTTAAAATGTGGATAATGAGCACTGTACTCCTGCCTCCCAGTGATGAAGATTAGCTCAGATTAGAGGTGATTATAGCTATGAGAGTGTGGTGTAAAAACAAACACTATTATTATCTCTAGCAGTAGTCTCCTCAAGTTCTGCCTTAACTGTCCTGGGCTCTTATCCATGGGACACTTCATAATGAGACCGTTAGGGATTTTACTAACCAAAATTTCCTTGGATGCCATTCGGATTGGTTCAGAGCATATTAGACTGCGTTAGGAGATGAAAACAATTGCATGTCTAGTCCAACCATCTCTCTTTATGGTTTTTCTTGGGGGGTCTTTATAGTTGTTGTTTGGGGTTCTTATTTTTGTTTGTTCTTTGCGACAAAATCTCAAGTAGCCCAGGCAGGCTGTATAACTAAGAATGAACTTCAAGTCTTAATATTTTCCCCCTACCACCCAAGGACTAGGATGACAGGCTCTAGCTTTGTCTTCTTACGGGGGGAGGAGTTCATTCTAGACAAATAAATAGACATATTGTAGGCCACTCCACTACAAAGTGGAGGTCTTGTAGTAACGAGCCTATTGCTTCTGTCCTGTAGAAACTGAATCCTTATTCAGTTTTAAAATTGTGTGTGCATGTGCATATGTATATGGAGGCATGTATTGCACATGTGTGTGACTGAGTGTGTAAATGTGTGTGCGTGTGTGTGGGTATGTGTATGTGAGGTAGTATTGCAGGTGTGTTACTGTAGGACTTCCAAGCCCCCTGCAGCTGAAGTTACAGGCAGCTGTGAGCCATATTAACAGGGTGCTGGGAACTGAACTCAGGTTCCTCACAACAGCAGTACATGCTCTTAACTATTGAGCCATCTCTCCAGCCCCACTGAATCTGCACTTCTGTTTAGAGGGTGCGTGAATTAAACATACCTCTTCAGTTCAGTGTAGCCACAGCTCCTGACTAACCATTGCTCATGTCTCCCTTGGGGTCTCATAAACATCCCCCCTTAATTTTTAAATGGTCAACATAATCTTCATTCCCTTAATGGCCACAGAGAACTTTTTGAAGTCTCTCTCTCTCTCTCTCTCTCTCTCTCTCTCTCTGACACACACACACACACACACACACACACACCACTTACAATAGTTCAATGCTTCTCTATTGTCTTCAACATAAAAGTAGGACATAAATGGTCCAGGCATAGCTGCTCTTCTCCCATCCTTCCAAGTCTCTTCCTCTGGAATGTACCCTGTACCCTGCAGACTTCCAGAGCTGCTTCTTCATTGGCAAGTAGTTCACTGCCTTCACTTTGAGAGGGAATGTCTTCTCTTGCAAGCCCTCTTTCTCTACTTCCTTATATGGCAAATCCCTTTCAGCTACCCAACATACAACCTACTCTCCTTGTTCCTGTGTCCCAGGTGTAGATTCTTCTTCTTTCCAGAAACTTCTTCATTATTCTATCACAGAATGTAAGTTGGAAGAGAAATGATGGCTGGCAGAACTGACCTTCATTTCAAGTCTGTGTCAGTCTTGGGCATCCACCAATCTGTGTCACCACCGAGGAGCAGAGCCCCAGGGGAGGTTTTTTATGAAACAGTTGGATTGGGAGATACAAGTCTGGAAAAGAGATAAAAAAAGATGTATCTCTCTTGCATGTTTGTGTGCTGTTTTGTAAGATACTTAAATCAGTCAGCCAAGTTATGTCATAACACTCCCCACCCCAACCAGCAGCTTCTGTCTGATTCTGTTTATTGACTCTTACTCCCTAAAGTTCCTGCACCACGTCCCAGATGGCACTTGGTGTGCAGAGACGTGAATACGCCGGCAACGGGTTTGTCTTAGAAAAGCACAAAGAAAAACCGCTACTCGGTTTCTTCCGCTGCTTTCAGGTGACTCCACTGTCCTTTGCCTTCTCTTTCTCCTTGTCCCCTCTTTGTTCCCTCCAGCTGATGTCATGGGGCAGCGTGTGGCATGATATAGGAGGAAAACTCCTGGGAATCGGTTGTTTCCAGAAACATTGTTTATCTCGTAGGGAGGAAAGATGGCTGTCCTGAAAACAGAATTCAGTAACAATTGCACAGCCCTGAAGATCTTCCATGTCTGTAACACTCAAGCCTTATTACACGATATAATAGCCCTGGAATAAGGCGGATATTAGTGTTAAACCTATTTAGTCAGGGCCTTGATTTTCCATTTTGTTATTTCCAAGGTCAACATGCTACTGTGGATGGAGGAAGGTCTGATCGCTTCCTCTTACCCCCATGGTAGAGGATGAAGTCCCATCTTTGGTGTGGGAAGTCTTTCTGTATATGTGTTGTTTTTATTGGTTAATGAATAAAGACACTGCCTTGGCCTGTGATAGGACAGAGTAGAGCGAGGCAGGGAAAACTAAACTGCATGTTGAGAAAAAAAGGCAGAGTCAGAGAAGCTATGTAACTGCCAGAGGAGAAAGATGCAAGCTGCCAGCTGCAACCTTGCTGGTTGTCTATGAGCCTCATGGTAAAATATAAAATAAGAGAAATGGGTTAACCAAAGTTATAAGAGCTAGTTAGCAATATGCTTAAGTGATTTACCAAAGAGTGATTTAAATAATATAGTTTCTGTGTGATTATTTCTGGAGTCTAGATGTCCAGGACAGTTAGGAAACAAATGAGCAGCCTCTTCCTACCTTCCTACACATCTGTTCTAATACTAGATAGCATTTTGACACTGCATTTGAGAGACACAACAGTTTATTAGTCACGTGAAGCCACAGTCCAGGACTTGAGAGAAGAGGGGGCTACATAGTGTATAGGTACCTGTCTAAGAACTTGGGAAATGTGGACAAGGATGGAGAGTTCCCAGAGAAGGGTTGGTTTGCATGTGTCCTTCAACAGACACAGCCTGGCACAGAAGTGAAGATCCGGCTAAGTGCTGAGACAGAGGGCAGGAAGATGCTCAGGTCTACCAGTTAGTAACAGAACTAGCAAGTCAAGTCGGGAACTAGACTTAGGAAGTTCAGTGATATTCACAGTTAGGCATTTTATACCCGATGCAATTCAAGGGTATCCAGGCAGCACAGAGAGTGTGAATGTCTATCATAACCTCCCTCTCTACTGTGCACACTGCATTGCCCTGAAGAAAATGCTCTCATTCATTGGAACATCCCCTGGGCTTTCACTAAGAATTTTTTCTCTTACACACAAATAA